GAGGACTCTGGGGACACTCAGGGGAATTCGGGGGAAGACTCAATGGACTAGAGGAGAAGGCGCTCACACGACCCTGGAGAGCAGACTGGGAAGCCCCCTCAGGAGGACTCTGGGGACACTCAGGGGAACTCTCGAGAAGACTCAAACAGTCAGAGAAGAAGGAGCACACAAAACGCTGGAGAGCAGACTGGGCAGGCCCCTCAGAAGGACTCTGAGGACTCTCAGGGGAACTCTGGAGAAGACTCAATGAGCTGGAGGAGTGGTAGGAGAAGGAGCTCACAGGACTCTGGGGAGGAGACTGGGCAGGCCCCTCGGAAGGACTCCAAGGACTCTCAGGGAAACTCTGTAGAAGACTCAGTGAAGTGGAGGAAAAGTAGGAGCACACAAAACTCTGAAGAGCACACTCGGCAGGCCCTTCAGGAGCACTCTGAGGACACTCAGGGAAACTTAGGGAAAGACTCAATGGACTGGAGGAGAAGGAGCTCACAGGATCCTGGAGAGCAGACAGGGCAGGCCCTTCAGGAGGACTCTGAGGACTCCCAGGGGAACTCTGGAGAAGACTCAGTAAAGAGAAGAAGGAGGAGGAGCTCACAGGACTCTGGAGAGGAGACTGGGGAGGCCACTCAGGAGGACTCTCAGGGAAACTCTGGAGAAGATTCAGTGAAGTGGAGGAGAAGAAGGAGCACACAAAACTCTGGAGAGCAAACTCGGCAGGCCCCTCAGGGGATCTCGGGGGAAGAGTCAGTGAAATGGAGAAGGAGCTCACAAAACTCAGGAGACAAGACTGTGCAGGCCGCTCAGGAGGACACTGAGGACTCTCAGGGGAACTTGGGGGAAGACTCAGGGAAGTGGAGGAGAAGGAGCTCACAGGACTCAGGAGAGGAAACTCTGCAGGCCCCTCAGGAGGACTCTGAGGACTCTCAGGGGAACTTGGGGGAAAACTCAGTGAAATGGAGGAGAAGGACCTCAGGGAAGTGGAGGAGAAGGAGCTCACAGGACTCAGGAGAGGAGACTGCGCAGGCCCCTGAGGAGGACTCTGAGGGGAACTCTGGAGAAAACTCAATGAACTGGAGACAGGGGAGGAGGAGGAGGGGTAGGGGGAAGAGGAGGAGGAAGGGTAGGGGGAAGAGGAGGAGGGGTAGGGGGAGGAGGAGGGGTAGGGGGAGGAGGAGGAGGAAGAGGAGGAAGAGGAGGGGGAGGAGGAGGAGGAGGAGGAGGAGGGGGAGGAGGGGGAGGAGGGGGAGGAGGGGAAGGAGGGGAAGGAGGGGAAGGAGGGGAAGGAGCGGAAGGAGCGGAAGGAGCTCACAGGACTCTGGAGAGGAGACTGGGGAGGCCCCTCAGGAGGACTCTGAGGACTCTCAGGGAAACTCTGGAGAAGACTCAGTGAAGTGGAGGAGAAGGAACACACAAAACTCTGGAAACCAGGCTGGGCAGGCCCCTCAGGAAGACTCTGAGGACTCTCAGGGAAACTCAGGGGAAGACTCAGTGAAGTGGAGGAGACGAAGGAGCTCAGAGAACTCTGGAGAGGAGACTGGTCAGGCCCCTCAGGCGGACTCTGAGGACTCTCAGGAGGACTCTGAAGACTCAGTGAAGTGGAGGAGACGAAGGAGCTCACAGGACTCTGGAGAGGAGACTGGTCAGGCCTCTCAGGAGGACTCTGAGGACTCTCAGGAGAACTCTGGAGAAGACTCGGCATCCCAGCAGCAGGCATCTCCTTGTCTGCTTGAACATCCAAAATCAGAGAAGAAAATGAGGATGAGGAGAAGGAAGAAGAAGAGGAGGAGGAGGGGGGTAAAAAGTGGAAAGAGGAAGAGAAAATGGAGAGGTTTCCTCCTCTTCCTCATCTGTGGGATCCTGTGAATCTACCAACTCCAGTATTAAAATTGGGTTCTGGAAGTCTTGCTCAATGCTGGGGCATGAAAGGTTTGGAAAGAGAGGCATGATGAATATTGTTCAGGAGCAGCAGGTAAACATGTGACTGAGCACGCACAGGTATGATGGGATCCCACAGGACTGAGGGAGACAGGGACAGTGTGAGTGGTCTTAGCCGAGCAACTCACCCATGATGGCTCTGACAAAGGCTGCCTGACAACTCTCCTTCTCTTAAGATGGTACTCTAGGCCTCACAGGTCACCTGTCTTCCTAGGGCGTTTGTTCCGTGGGAACCTGTAGGAGAATGTGAGAAAGCACCTCAGGGCACAGTTGGCAGGCAGAGCCTGGCGCACCAGGAATGGCAGTAGGTGGTTAGGACTGGGTGCTGCCAGGTCTGCTCTGCTTGTGGGGGTAGTGCCTTTGGTACACCGTCAGGGTGTGCACTCACCTTGACTCCTAGCACTGCCTGGGCCGCCTCTGCTGTGCTGACTTTAGAAGTGCAACTTAGGCCCTGGTCTTCAACTCCTGGTTCCTGGAGCAGCTGCAAGAAGAAGTGAGAGAGGGCTGGGCACTATGGCTCATGCCTGTAATCCCAGCACTTTGGGAGGCCAAGGAGGGTGGACCACCTAAGGTCAGAAGTTCGAGAGCAGCCTGGACAAAAATGTATTTCTGTCTTACTGGAAATACAAAAAGCAGCCAGGCATGGTGGTGGGCACCTGTAATCCCAGCTACTTGGGAGGCAGAAACAGGACAATCACTTGAACCCGGGAGGCGGAGGTTGCAGTGAGCTGAAACCATAACATTGCACTCCAGCCTGGGTGACAAGAGGGAAACGTCTCCCCCACCCCCC